ATGAAAAATGATAGATTTCTATTAAAAATATTCGTCCAATATTTCATCCAATTCCATCCCTTCCATTTTCATTTTTTCTCGACACAATTTCATTAAATATTTTAGAAAACAATTCTGAAAATTCTTATCAATAAAATTATCCAACAAATTGTAGAAAATTCGTATCTTCCAAAGAAAGAACACGAAATAATAATTTCCACATTAATTAAAAGACGAGATGAAAAATGATAGATTTCTATTAAAAATATTCGTCCAATATTTCATCCAATTCCATCCCTTCTATTTTCATTTTTTCTCGACACAATTTCATTAAATATTTTAGAAAACAATTCTGAAAATTCTTAACAATAAAATTACCCAACAAATTGTAAAAAATTCGTATCTTCCAAAGAAAGACACGAAATAATAATTTCCACACGTATAATTAATAAAAGACAAGATGAAAAATAATAGATTTCTATTAAAAATATTCCATCCAATATTCCATCCAATTCCATGCCTTCCATTTTCATTTTTTTTTTTCATTCGGCACAATTTCATTTTTCATTGTCTCCCACACGTGCCAAGTCCAGTTACAAGTGCGGCCGATAATAATTAACCAGCCGATTCAAAAGTTACTTTAAAAAGTCGAGCAAACCGGCTCGAGGAAAGTTCGATGGATTAATTTTCTCCCCACGCGGTGCGGCTAATTCGAAAGAACGGGGGCACCGTAAAAAGGAACACTTTTCAACCGCGCCTGGCCCAACAACAACAGCCCGTGTTGTACTCCACCGATCCGACAAGTTCATCGAAGCTAACTGCACTCGGCGAGACGAGCGCGACCTCGTTCCTTCTTCCTCTCAGATGTACTGCCCCCCTCCTCTCCAACGTGTCTTCCAACTGTCGCAGAGAGAAAAGAGCAAATTTGAACGTTCTTCGAGGAAGAGAATTCGAAGAACCTTCGGCTTCCTGCCGAGCGAAAAAGAAAGAAGAAATTGATTTTTTTGAAATTTTTCCAAATTTTTCCATCGAAAGGAGAAAATTAAATTACGCGAGGGAGATTAATTGTTGAGATTGATTTTTTGAAATTTTTCCATCAAAAGGAGAAAATTAAATTATGCGAGGAACGTTAATTGTTGAGATTGATTTTCTGAAATTTTTCCAAATTTTTCCATACACGATGGAATCGAAAAGAGAAAATTAAATTACACGAAGAAGATATAACTGTTGAGATTGATTTTTTGAAATTTTTCCAAATTTTTCCATCGAAAGGAGAAAATTAAATTACGCGAAGAAGATATTACTATTGAGATTGATTTTTTGAAATTTTTCCAAATTTTTCCATCGAAAAAAAAAAAATTAAATTACGCGAAGGAGGTTAACTATTGAAATTGATTTTCTGAAATTTTTCCAAATTTTTCCATCGAAAGGAG